CCCTTCTCCCTTCCCTCCCCCAGAGTCTGAAACTGCCAGATTAGAAACAAGAATTTGCAATTCCCTGTGAGTTCTGTGTCCATCCAGCGCTTTGGCGACTGAGGCTGAGGGACTAAACGAGCAGTTTGTGGTGCCTTTAGAGCCCTTCCTGTCCGTCACAACCTGGTATTACTTCTCCATGTCATTCTGCACACTGACTGCTAACCTCCCTTCCCTCCCCCAGAGTCTGAAACTGCCAGATTAGAAACAAGAATTTGCAATTCCCTGTGAGTTCTGTGTCCATCCAGCGCTTTGGCGACTGAGGCTGAGGGACTAAACGAGCAGTTTGTGGTGCCTTTAGAGCCCTTCCTGTCCGTCACAACCTGGTATTACTTCTCCATGTCATTCTGCACACTGACTGCTAACACAGCACCAAGTCCATTCCAGTTTGTCTGCTGGTTAGTTTCATGGTTTCCAGTAATTGAGAAGTCAGTTTATAATTGAAAAACACATGGAAAATGAGAGTGTTTTTTCACCTGCTGCCGTGTTGTAAGATTCTTGTCCTTTTTCAGATTATTCTGGTTGTCAGAGTGTGGGAGGGGGAGGCGGCGGGATATGCAGCTTTAGGCCAGGCTCTCAGTCAGCAAGCTACTGAACTGTGTGTTTAACTTCAAGCATGTGAATCGTCTCCTTGGAGTCAAATTGTGTCATGTGCTTAATCTCTTGTGGATTACTACATTAGGTAACTCCCGATGTTCTCTTCTTGTGCTGTCCTCTCCCTTTCTGGCGATGGGAACTGGTTTATCAGATGGTTCCAGAAAGGGTGAAACACCTTCTGTTTAAGCCTTTGCTATCCCACCACAAGGTTGGTGAGTGGCTACATTTCCATGCACTGTGCCATTGGCTCCCTGGAAATGTGGTTTTGGTTTTTTTTGTTACTCCTTGGCAATTCTGACCTTGTTTTATGAAAAATAAATATTTCACAACCTCTTCTGGTGTGGCTGTGTTTTACGCCAAGCTCTCCAAGTCCTGACTGGTACCTGAGACGGGATGTTCTTTGCAGGGATCCAATTAGTTTTAGGTTTATGGAAAGAAGCTTCAAAGGGCAGGAAAATGAGTGTGTGTGGAGAAGTGTTCAACCAGAGTACAGTAGTTAGTGGAACTAACACACCTGCAGCATTTTCTTACTGCCATTTAGGGAGGAAGATGCTGCAAATGTGTCAGTGCCGAATATACAGGCAAACAACATTCAGTTAAAGGATAATGCAAGTCACAGGGAAAATACTCCATAGAAGTGAGGGGAAAATACATTTCTTGGCTGAGGAGCTTATTAAAAATGTGGAGGTACAGAAATCACCCAGTCCTGATCTTTTGAACCCTTGACTAAATCACTGATTTTAAGTAAATGGCAAACATACTGGAGTGGAAGGGGACATGAATGAAAAGGGCACCATTTGTATATTGCATCCTTAACTATTTAGAGCTCTTTCTTGCCTCTGTTCAAGTTGCATTAGATGAAGGATCAAAATGGAACCTTTAACAACGGAAAATCTTGTGTCTTGGGGGACAGGATGCAGTTTGTTTAGGAATTTGGTTTATTTAAGGTTTGGGGTTTTCTTTAATCAGACTTAATATAGGAGCTGTCTTGTTAAAATGCCCTGGGTTATCTGAACCAAATATAGGAGACTCTGTGACTTGTGGATCACAGAAACATCTGGTTTGTTTTTAAAAAATACAAACCTCTGGGGTGTGTGTAGCTTTGCCTTGTTCATGCAAATAGGGCTGCCCGATGCTCATTTACACACACTTGTGTCATAATGATAAGTTATACTTGTCTGGCGATTGGAAACACTGCCTTTTAGAAGGGGTGTGTACGGGCGCAGTTGAAGATCAAATTAATGTCATTTCACATGAGTACACTTGCTACCTGGGACTGCTGTCTGGAGCTTGCTTTTCTTTTAAGGCTCATCTCTGTCTTTTTCTCATACTCTGGCCTTGTCAAACATGCTTTCAAAGCAGCAGAGGACTGGAGATTAGACAAGACAACTAAATAACTTGTCCACCCTTGGTAAATTGAAGCACTGTCCTGAATAGCTGTGCCATCCTTATTAAAAAATAGAACCCTTACAATAAAAATACAAACACTGCAACGTTACATTAAGGACATGGCAGTGTTGAGAGGTCATTAGAACTGAATAAAATCCCTGAATCTGGTTGTGTAACAGGGGAATAACTGGATAGCTGAGTGGTGGCAGCACAAACCCTATTCGACTGGCTTTGCTAGGTAGTGTTGAGTAGAGAGGCTGTTCCTGTGAAACATTTGTGGTCTTGCACTATTCTTAGAAAGCTTCTCTATCACATACGGAGCTGGCCCCCTTGTTGGGAATGTCAGTACTGGGTTTAGATTTGAACTGGAACATTGCGGAATGACCTCCCCTCCTCTCCCCTTGATTGCTCTAGGGCAGGGTGGAAGACACGAGTGGAACAGTGTGGGGGAAGCATGCACCTGCATGCTCCCTGTGCGATATCCATGCAGGTGCAAGACACTCTGTCTCCAGGCCAGCCAGGCAGTGATTCTGCGCTCAGCAGAAATTCAGTGCACACTTGCTTTGTGACTTGGTATTTTCAGTTTCATGAAGACATTCCAGAATGTGTCATGCTGTGACATGACAACTACTCTGGCTCGGCTGAGTCGCAGTGGGACTGCGGTGGTTATGAGATCACATTGGGCGCTCTCCTCCTCGAGCCTGGGACGTTCTGGGTGGATTTCGCAGATCAGGTGCATGCTGGCAAAGGAAGTAATGGGTGTACATGCTGATTGTCTTCCACTGACTGACTAGTGGGGCCATTTTTAGGTTCACTTAAATAGCATAAAGTTCCAGAGGGCAGATTTTCAAACCTATTCAGCCCCCAGCAGCTAACACTGTTCTCAGTGGGAGCTGAGCCCCTGATAATCGGGCTCTAGATTGTCTCTTAAAGTGAAAATCTGACCTCACAAACCTACTGTGAGTGTTAGGTACTGTGTTGCCCCTTTAAATGGGGGGCCCTGGTATAATTATACCATTCATGTCCCAGTGGCTGGTACTTGCTGAGGAGCAGCGATGGGCAATTTGTGCTGCCTTTTGCCCCTCAACTGTGCACAAGCCTCTCTTTCTTCTGGTTGTACGGTCTGCCCTGATCTGGTTTGTTTTTTGTTCTTCAGGATGGTTTACACTCCTTATCTAGCACCCAGGCCTGCAAGCTGGTATGAGCCTGCTGAAAAGTGGTAGGTGCTTGGCCTTTTGACTATTTGGAACAAGCCTTATTGAGTTTGTAGCCATTGTAGCTCAAACGTGAGAGCTAATAAAGCTACATTCAGTTCTAGTTGGGGGAGTTTTGTGACCTCTTACTTACTTTTTAAAAGTTGCAGTATGTATCTGCTCACTTCCTGAGAAGTTGCTGAATGCCCTCTGTGTCCTATAGTTCTGTATGAGCTTCATTCCGTTCGTGTCTTGTTCCGTGTCCCATTGCTCTTGTGTACAAACAATAAAGGATTGTGAAAAGCCTTCGTTATAAACCTCCTTTATTTCCATTTAGTTGTATGTTTGTGTCTTTTCTTTAACTGCCTAAGGAGGGTGGGTGGATGTCTCTGTCCACCCTCAAATCATTTTCATTACTTGATCAAACTTAGTTATTTTCTAGTAACTCATGGAAGTCTCTTGTGTTTGTAAATGTTCTGAATTTCCTTCTCTATCCATGATCCAATGCGACAGGGATGTATCAAGGGCGAAATAATCCTCCACAGAGTTCGTGCTTTTCTTCTGTTCCTCTGGTGGGTTATCCCCATCTGTGTAGAAACATCTGCAAGTAATAAATGTGGCTCTCTGGCTGTTAAATAACCTGTACTGTGGTGTGTTAGTTTGTGTCTCAACACCCTGTGCATTTGCACTGCGCCTTCCCCCAAG